AATCACCATGTCTGAAGATTTACTATCCCAGGAGCACCAAGCTGTAAGGAGCTCTAAGCCAGCATGTGATGTGACACAAGGAATAAGACCCAGGCAACCAACTTTGAACCTAATGCATCCAAGTGAAAAGACCTCAGCTCATGTCCTGTAGGCAAGAATAGCACCCCTAAGTCCAGCCCAACTCCTGAGCCACAGAACTGTGGGGAGCAAAAAGTCATCACTGTTTTATGATAACTTTTTTTGGAGGGGTCAGGCCAATATTTTATATTTAATTAAAACTCAACAGTGTTTTTGCTGCTGTTTAGGTCATACAGTTTTTACTGCACTTTGTATGCCGCTAGGTTTTACGATGACTTATGCTAGTAGCTGGTAGCAAAAGGTTTGGTATTATAAATTTCTTTCTAATCATTAGTTAGAAGAGTTAGAAATAAATATGTAATACCCTGTTGCTGTCGCTGTCTTGATCTTTCTCATCAGTTCTAATGTTCATCTTGAATTAGTTGTTAGTAATGCCTGGGCTACAATTGTCTCAGCTTTAAGATAATGAGTCCATACTATTTGGAGAAAAATTTCAAATGCTAAAAGTTAAAGTGTGAAAGGTAAGTATTATTATAATATAAATGATCAGTATCTATAAAACAAATTGAATTATGTTTCACTTTTCTCCATAATAGTTTGTAGGTGGAGGCAGCTTGTTCATTTCCTCGCTGCCCAGACCCAAAATAATCCTATAAAAACTATATTAATTATAATACTGTTTGGCCTATTAGCTCAGGCTTCTTATTAACTAATTCTTACATCTTGAATTAACCCATTTCTATAATTTATATTTTACCACAAGGCTCGTGGTTTACCAATATGTTTCCTGGGCATCTGTCACTTTGGCAGCTACATGCCATCTTCCTTAATCTGCCTTTTTTTCTCCTTTATCTCTGCTTGGAATTCTCATCTTGCTCTATTCTGCCCTGTCATAGGCCCAAAGCAGCTTCTGTATTAACCAATAGTAATAAAACATATTCACAGCATACAGAGGGGCATCCTACATCAATAGTTGTCTTTGAAAACCCATATAATTAAACTGAGAAGTTTCCAAGCATGTATTATATTTCTTCACATACAGTTTACTCCAGTGTGCTTATTCATGACAGAAAGTTACTCAATTTAGGAATATTTTCAAGACTTGTCTTGACTATCTATTTCTTTATCCATGTCATAATGCACTTTTGTGAAGATGATTTAACCTATAAGTTTCTCCATGTTTATGTAGGTTATTATGTAGATGTATAGATAATAGTAATAAATATTGAAATGCCGAGATTCTTCTACACATCTCTCACACACAAACACACACACACACACACAAACACACATAAATATCCACACAGTAGATCATAGTTTCATTTTCTTTGGTTTACTAATGGACTACATACAATGCTATACAATTTTATTTTCTCTCTCAGAATAGATTGTATTGCATTCTAGATTAAAATACTTCTCATTCAGTTTTCATAATATCTGTGTAATAATCAAGAGTAATGGATGTATATTCAAGTTATTTATTGTGTTCATCAATTGAGTCCATCATGCCTAAATCCCATAAACCCAGGATCTCCATTTTTGAATATTTCTTCCCAAAATACTCCGGAAAATACCACTAAGATCTTTTGAAGATGCAGGTTGTCTTGGCTTTCCTCTTGCTGTGATAAAATATGCTGACCAAAGCGACTTAAGGGCGATAGGGTCTTTTCTGACTCATGTTTAAAGTATGCAGTACACTATTGTTGAGTGCTGGAGTCGGAGGATCTGCAGACAGCTGGTCACATGACATCACCTTTAGAATCATGAGGAAGGAAGTGATGGATGCACACTTCCTCTGTGCTACCATTCCCTACTTACAGTCCAGGACCCCAGCCAGTGAGAAGCCAAAGGAGCAAAGGTTTTGAGTTTATTAACAGTCAACAAGAGCAAAACCAGCTTGGGAGCAATGAACATGTAAGAAGAACGCTTCTTAGCTGTGAATTTCACTGTAACACTAGTTCCTGGGTGCTTTGATCAGTTTTCACATGAGGGTTGTTAGTACTCTTTTTCAGGGTCAACTGACCTACTGTTGCTGTCAAGACTGAAGATAAGGTCTGAGGACCAGTGGTCTCAGATTCTCAATTTCTTACAGAGCATCAGGGAATTTTCCAACATGACAATCAGTAAGGGAAGTCAAAGTTCTGTGTCTCCAACTTTGGTGACAGTTTGTCTTAGTCTTCTTAAATGATCTGCACCTGTTGGCCCTCATTTTTCTGGAGAGTGGTCACGTTGTGTTTTCCCAGGCACAAAATGTATACTTCTTATCATTTATATTAATTAGTTATGACAAAATGCCTGCTGAAAGTAACTTAAGGTTGGGTTTATTTGGGCTCATGAAAGTCATAATCGTAGGAATGTGAGGAAGATGATTATATTTCATCCATAGTCAGGAAACAGAGAGGCCTGTGAATGGTGGCTTCCAACTCACTTTACCCTCTTCATTCAGTTCATGACCCCAGCTGGAGGATGCTTCTATTTTCATCCAGAAAATCTTTCTGGAAACACCCTCATATACACACAAAAGGGTTTCCATGGAGATTCTAAATCTTGTCATATTGAAGATGAATGTTAACCCTCACAGCCCGCCTCACAGTGTTTCAGGATTCATTTCTGAGCTCTGATAGGTCAGTCATCAATATTCTCGTACAAATCTGTGTTGCTGCTGCCACTTTCTCTGCTTTTCCTTCTTCTGGGAGAGTGATGCGTTAATGTACTACAATTTGGTGGTGTTTAGAGGTTCAGGTTTAGGTGGCCATCTTCAATATTGCAGTTAAATTCTTCAGATTATTTTTAATTAATTATTTTCATTTCTTTTACATCCTGACCTCCATTTCCCCTCCCTCCTTTTCTCTCTCCCTCCCACCTCCCCTCATGGCTAAGCCATTAAAGGTTAGGTTCAGGGACTTCATATCCTGAAAAAAACCTACTTACCGTTCATGTTCAAGTTCAAAAGGCAACACATTACATCTCTTCACATGACCCAGAAGCAGAATGATGTTCCACCAGTCTTGCTACTTACAATATTTGTTGCGGAATATTATTTTTAAGGTGTGTTACATTTCTTCCTACTGTTTTTGTTTACAGTGCAAAAACAAGTTCCATTTGTTTGATTTTAATAAAATTAACCCCTTGTCATGAGGCTGAGTCAGCAACTAGCTGACAGGAAGTGGCAGGGGGAACCATGTGTAGAGTGTTCTTAAGTGGAAACTAATTGGATGGTCTCGTGGGTTTTTGGGAGATGTGAGCAAGGAGAGAAAGTGAGCTACTTGTGATTCAGCCTCGCTTAGTGAGCAGAATTTCACCTCAGTCTTTGGATTCTGAATTCTATAGAGGGGTCGAGATCTAGATAAAGTTACTGGCTTTGAGAGCTCTGATGCGCGAACAAACAGAATTCCTGTCAGCCGCGGCCCTGGCCACTGAACCACTGCTACCTTAGAAGACTTGAAGTTAGCCACAGAGTATGGAAAGATAAATGATTTATCTGACACTGATATAATACAGGTAATAAATATCATCAGTATGGTAATTAACATCGTGTCATAGTAGCCTTGGTGGGTTTTGCGCTAAATATGACAAGGGGGTGATAGGATGCAGGTCTTGGAAAGATACACTAAAGAAAAGAAAGAAAAATGATCACAGACAGAGGAATTTAGAGCACAATTTACCACACCATTGCACTGTGAAACTGAAGAGAAACAGCAAGCTAAGTAAAAACTGCTTGTGGTAATACAAGTACCGGCTTCCTACAGCAAGAAAGGTTGAATGATCAAACACACCTCTGATTGGGCAGCAAGGCTTGACTTTCACAAACTGAGAAGTGGGTGGAGCCAGCCCTTTAGCAGCATGAAGGACCCAGCTGTAGTTTAGCAGTCTAAATGTTGGCTCAGGCACTCAATGCTAAAAGAGCTGGGCAGTGGTGTCAAATGCCTTTAATCCCAGCACTCAGGAGGCCGAGACAGGAGACGGGCGGATCTCTGTGAGTTCAAGGCTAGCCTGATCAACCAAGCGAGCACCAGGACAGGCTCCAAAGCTACAGTGAAACCCTGCCTCAAAAAAACAAAAACAAACCAATTAACAACAACAACAAAAGGCTAAAAGATATGCAGTAAAAAAGGTCCAGGTTGCCGGGCTGTGGTGGTGTACGCTTTAATCCCAGCACTCGGGAGGTTAAGGCAGGCAGATTTCTCTAAACTTGAGGTCATACTGGTCTATAAGAGCTAGTTCCAAAGCTACAGAGAAACCCTGTCTCGAAAAATCAGAAAGAGAGCGAGCGAGCAAACGAGAAAAATCTAGGTAGGTAGAAAAACCTCTAAACAGGTTCCAGTGTGTTTTACAATGTGCATAGGCTTAAGATAGAAAGAAAATAAAGAGATTAAAAGTAGTAAGTAAGTCTTTTAAGAGACAGTAAGAATGAAAGAAAAAAGTCACACGAGGAGTCACACAGAACTGTGTTGATTTTAAATATTTTGATTGTTAATAGACAAGAGGCAGCTGCTGAGAGACATGGGATTGTGAATTGAAATGCAAAATTGAACCAATCTAGATACCCTAACTTTAAAAATGAAGCCAAATGTATTTGTCAAATGGAATAAAAAATGTGTTAGAGAAGAGGTTTTGCTCTTGTTTCCATAGGAAATGAGAGGCTGTGGATTCCTTCAGGTTAATATAGTTTGATCAGGAAAGACCTTCTAAGTCTCAACAGTGACCTATATCAGCAAAGGGTTCTACTAGTCTTCCAAGGATGTGAACATTATCTCAATTTTCTCTCTGATGCCTTCACCCACAGGTCACAGGAAGCAGTCTGGAGAACATGACACCCTCATTCCCAAGAGATAGTGTGGGTGGTCTTTGGTTATTTGGTGGATTATGGATGTTTGTTATAATTTAAGGGAATATAGAAATATAGAATAAAAAGACAACTATTAATCTCAAGTATTTTGTATTTGTATGGACTTTTGTATATTGATACAAATTAAGGTCATTTTTGTTACAACACACTGTATCTATGTTTCTACTTCAAGAGTTTTGTATATTGATACAAATTTAAGGTTATTTTGTTACCACATAGTGTATATATGTTTCTATTCTTGTTTAAGTAATTGTACCTATGCAGTTCATTTTAAAATGTAAGGTAAATTCTAGTTCATGAAAGCTATTATCATAATGTATTTAGCATAATCAAAAAACATGGGTAGTAGTTAGTCATCTACAACAATCAAATTTGCAGATATGTTTGTCAAGTTTTCTAGATCATACAGAGATCTATTTTAGAAAGATAAATGTTCAAACACTTCAAAGACCTATAGAATACTGCATTTAAAATGTTTTTTTAACTTAGAGTTTTTCATGACAACAAGATACATCTGTTCTTGGCATTAACAATTGACTTTAACGAAAATGGTGAGCATTGAAGAAACTCTGTAGAAGTCTGCTTTCATTGTGACAAGGTTAGCCATCTGGACAAGAAACTGCTTCTGCCTTGACTGCTTCACAGTATGTTTTACAAACTGGACATGCAGGATTCACAGGAAAGTGATTGCTAAAATTGTAAAAACAAGGTGCAACAGTCCTTCAGGGTTCCTTATTCAGGATGGGTCCACCAAATATTCTGAAAAACACAGAGGAAAGACTGATTAACTTTGCCAAGATAAGGTAGAACAATCTTTTTGATGTAGGAAGTCCTTCTGCATATGCATTGCTTTTGTTGGTTAAGGAATTTAAAAAAAAAAAAACTGCCTTGACCTGTTGATAGGATAGAGTAGAACTAGGTGGGGAAAATTATACTGAATGCTGAAAGAAAGAGGTGGAGTCAGGAGACACCATGTAGCCTCGCCTGAGACAAACACTAAACTTGCTGGTAAACCACAGCCACGTGGTGATACACAGATAAATAGAAATGGGTTAAATTGCGTTGTAAAAGTTAGACAATAAGAATCTAGAGCTAATGGGCCAAGCAGTCGTTTAATTAATACAGTTTCTGTGTGGTTATGTGGTTATTTCAGGAGTCTGCGTAGCCAGGAAATGAACAGCCAGCCTTCCTACAACATCTTTCAACTTTCCTTCTTCACCGAAGCTATTGCTATTATAGGAAACTCGGTTATTTCTCTCTCTCTCTCTCTCTCTCTCTCTCTCTTTCTCTCTCCTCTCTCTCTCTCTCTCTCTCTCTCTCTCTCTCTCTCTCTCTCTGTCTCTCTTTCCTTCCTTTTCCTCCCTTCCTTCCCCTCTCCTTCTGTCCCTTCTTTCCTTGCTTCTTTTTTTATCTTGTCTGGGTTTGTGGACAGCACAGTTCAAAAGTCAGAGGCCAACTTTGTAGGAATTGTTTCTCTCTGTCCATTATGTGGGTCATGGGGACTGAATGCAGGTTATCAGGCTTAGCATCTAGCACTTTTACCTACAGTGCTATCTTTCTCAAGTCCACAAAAATGATCGGGAAAATGCATTAAGTATTAAAGATTTTTAAATTGGACAAATATACTAAAGACGTAATATTTATAGTATATATTTATATAATAAACATAATTATAAGAGGTCTTTTCTTCTATGGTTTGATATGATAAAAATCCCACCAATTTACAATGTAAGATGCATGATCTCTAGTATGCTACTAATGAGAATGGATGGGGATTAGTGGAAGACAATTATTGAATCCCTCATCCCCTTCCTGGCATCCTAGCTGAACATTTGAGTTTGACAGCTTTAGGTACTACGGCTACTCCATTTTCTGGCTCTAACTTTAACATGTCCTCCCTTATTTGATTAGGGTTCCATGTAGAGCTGTTTAGTCTCCTCTCTGGAGAGTATGGGGCTAGTGATCTTGATGGACGTACAAGTCTGTATGCTCTCTTCCTTTTGTGTGTATTGCCACTATGATGTAGCTCCTCAAAATATGACACAGCTAAGCTGCCCTTTAAAGAGTGGCCTTTCAGACTGTGAAAGCAAAAAAAGTATCTTTACTTTATCAGTCATGAAACATTAGGAACTTTTAGAATATGAAATAGCTAGACTAATTTTTGAAACTAATATAATACATGAACCATTGGAAGCAATATAATAGTAAAATAATTTCTACAAATTGGCAAAAGACCTCAGCTTAAAGCTAGAAAGAGGAGGGGGACCTCATGGTATCAGTCATGCCAAACTGAAATTTCACTATTTGAATAAACCTTGTGAAGCTTCTAGAAAGAAACATAGACTTACAGTCACCTTTATTGTATCTTTATCATGCTCGGGTTTTATCTCAAAACTTCAGGATTATGTGCACTCTATTATCCATTATTAAGGATATTTGTTACAGTAATAAGCAAAGGCAACACAATACAGTTCCAGGATATTATTTAGTTTGCTTCATGAACAGCATAAACTGCCTTCTGTTCAAGCAGCTTTGAGATCCAATTGCCTGGTTAAGTGAGCAATGAATTTTATTTTCCTTCTTGTGAAAATTATTAGTTAATTCTAAAAATATTTATTGTATATTCAATACAATATTGAATATTCAAAAACTAAATATTTTGAATATTCAAAAACTAAAGTCTTTGCTTTGAATATGCAGTATGTTTTAAGACGGTTTAACAAAAAATATTCTGTGCCTTCTGTGGGGTTTCTTTGAACAAGAACATATATTTATAGAGCATTGAATTCCCAACTAAGTGTCTCTTGTATTTTATATGGATTCCTATGATCTTAAATAAAATTTATTGTATTTTTATTATATGTTTGCATATTCACATGTATGTGCAAGGTTCATATGTATGTCATGGTGCCAATGCAGAAGTCAGGCAATACCCTTGAGTACTGGTTCTCAACTTTCACTATGTTTGAGACAGTGCGTCCTGTTTACCACTGTGTTTATCAGGCTAGCTTGACTGGGAATTCTCCCTAGGGGAGTCTCCAATATCTGTCTATCATATTGCCATAGAAACACTGGTGATACCAAAGGGTGCTATAATATTTAGTATTTATTTGGTTCTAATGATATGGACACTTGACTCTCATACTTGTGAAGCATGCACTTTACACACTGAGAGCTAAATTATGAGAACTCTGGTTAATAACACTGGACTATATCCTTGAAATTTGCTGAGTTTTAGTTTCTTTTCTTGTTGCTGTAATACTCCCAACAAAAATGATATACAGGAAAGGGATTTGTTTGACTTACAATTCAAAGACCACAGTTTTTTTTATGTCAGGAACTTGAAAACAATTTATTACACAGATGACTTTTCCTTTCTTATAGCTCTTAAATTATTGATGCTCTCTTTACTGTAATGTTCTCGGAGCCCTGTCATCTTTATGATGGGCATTCTACAGTCATTTATTCTGCATACCTTGACAACAACTGACTACAATGAAAACACATTTCTTTGAACCAAGTCGACAGTAACATTATTCTTTATATATATAATTATAGGCTCATCATGTCCATTTAGTAAAACAACAACTAGGCCACTCTAAGCTCTATGACCTGGCCAGCCATAGAACTTCAAGACGGTTTATGGTACCAGAAACTAGTTTTCTCTTGTGGAGTTGATATCATATCTAAATACAAAGTATTTGGTTGATCCCATAACATATTTGCCACTGTTTCACTGAGGAAAACAGAAGATAGAAATTGGTTTAACAGTTTAGGGATTATCCAGAACTTGAAATGTTCTTGGTTGTATTATGACAAGAGGCCCAAAATACAAGAATTTGCTGTGGGATAGTCTTTATGTATGCTGTGAATATGTGTTGCTCTCATTGGTTGATTAAAAATAAGCTGTCATGGCCCATGGCAAGTCAGGGTAGAGTCAGGCAGGAAATCCAAGCAGCGATAGAGGAGAAGGGCAGAATCTGACTGATGCCAATGTAGCATGAATAATAAAAACTCAGAGACAGATATTGGGTTTCAAGCTGAAGATCAGAAAACAGAGCAGCCAACCACTAAAGAGACCTTTATCTCTACCAAATCTTCAGACCAAAAAGGCAAGATTTTGTCTCCATAAGTCATCAGACTCCACACTCCAGTGAGTTTCTGTCTCTTCCCCTTTATATTCTTCTCTCTGCCCAGTCCCATCACTCCTGTCTCTACCTTCCTAGTACTGGGATTAAAAATGATTGACTCTCAAACACTGGGATTAAAGGTGTGAGCCATTACCACCTCTTGTGTAGCTCAGGGTTGCCTTGAAGTCACAGAGATCCGTCTGCTTCTGTCTCCTGATTAAAGGTGTGCTACCACTCCCTGGCCTCTATTGGCTTAGCTTTGTATTATGTTCTTCAGACAAGCTTTATTTATTAAAATACAAATAAAATATAACTACATTCCCCCAGTTTGTCAAAGTAAAAAAGGCAGCTTTAACTAATATAAGAAAAACTATATACTTAAATAAGTACAATAACTATATACAATATATAAAGGCAATAGGTACATTAATAATGTCTAGTCCACTTGAATTTGACAAATTCAGAGAAAACACTCCATTGTCTATGCTATCTTGAATCCAAAATCTTGAACCTAATTTATCTTGTAATATAACTTGCTTTCTGCATCTGGTAAAGTGGTGTGGGACAATGGTCTGTATTCTGTCAATTATATTTTAAATAAATGCGGATTGGCCAGTAGCCAGCCAGGAAATATAGGTGGGACAACCAGAGAGGAAGTAGAAGCAGGTCAATGAGAACAGGAGAATTCTGGGAAGAGGTAAGCTTGGTCTGCGGTTGTGACCCAGCTACAGAAGAAGCAAGATGTGACTGCCTCGCCAAATAAGGTACCAAGCTATGTGGCTAACACAGACAAGAATAATGGGCTAAGGGGCGGAAATGGAAACTTTTATAATTTAATAAAATTACTTTAAAAATAACAAAACCTGAAAAAAAAGAAAGAACTTTTAAAAAGTTCAGTGTCCTTAGCAAGCAGGGAAATGCCAACTACAATTACTTTAAGAATTCATCTTCCCCCAGTCAGAATGGCTGAGATCAAGAAAGTAACTGACCACAAGTGCTGGCGAGGTGGAAAGTGGAACCCTCATTCGCTTCTGGTGGGAGTACAAACTGGTACAGCCACTCTGGAAATCAGCGTGGGGCCATCTCTCACAGCTACAAATAGATCTATCGAATGACTCAGTCATGCCTCTCCTAGGCATACACCGAAGGATTCGAAATCCTACTATAGAGATGCTTGCTCAACCACATTCATTGCTGCTCTACTCACAGTGGCTGGGAAATGCGAGTGATGAACGGATAATCAAACGTCATATGCAGATGCATGGCAGAACTGTACTCAACCACGAAGAAAAGGGAGGTTTGCAGACCGGTTGTGGGAACTGGAAAATACTGTATGGAGTGAAGTAATCCATATTCAGAAAGACAAATGCTTTGAGCATTTTGTCTTATTTAGCGATCCAAGTCTGAACCTTCAGATTTGAGCATATAATGAGAAGAAACCCTAAGAGCCAGGAAAGTAAACAGGAAACACAGGGAGAGAAGGAACCCTAGGGAGAAGGGTAGTGGAGCGTCGATGGTATAAAAGTGGGAAGGAGAAAAATGGAAGCTGCAATAGGGAGGGGAAGCGTGGTGCAGATAGAGAGGGAGGGAGGAAAGAGATAAATAACACTAAGGATATTCAAAACAGCCACAGGGAAGCACATTATTTCATAATACCATTTAAAATATATAATATATTTATGTACATACGTAAATATATGTTTTAAAATGTAAACATGGTTCCATACATGAGATAATAACACTCTTCCCTCCAAGAGCCATAGACAATCTATCTAGAGTTCCAGTGCCAAGCATAGGCAATCGTCCTTTGAATTGGTCAGGGGACCCACGAGACTCCCAAAACAATATAGGCTATGGTCACTGTCTTTGATTGCCTCCCAGAACCTTAAAGTTTCTGTTGCTGAAGATACCACACACTTTGGACACAAGACTTGGGAGGAATTGAGCTGGAGACATGGAATCCTATCCCTAAGGGTCAGCTCTTTTATAGTCTAAGACGGTGCTATGCATCAGAGGGGAGCAAACAGCTGTCATAAGTGGATGTAAAGTCTTAGAACCATAAGGATCACTATGTTCCCAGGTGGAGCAGTAGTGAGACTTTCATCTCAGGGGGAGCTAACATTGGACTTAAGTCCTACCCAATAGGAGGGAATTCAATGCTCAGTACTATAAATCTAACCAACTACCGTGGCTGAATGGTTCTTAAATTCTAGAGGAAAGTCAACTACTGCTGTTTTCCTAACCCAACATAATTTCTAAAAAAAAAAAAAAGAATAATGGGCTAATATAAGTTATAAGAGGTAATAAGATGCCTGAGCTAATGGGCCAATCAGTTTATAACTAATGTAGACCTCTGTGTGATTTCTTTGGGAGTTGACAATTGCTGCCCAGGCAGGACAGAAAACTTCAGACAACAGTAAACAAAGAAAACTTTATCTAGTCCTCAACTTCCTCAGAAAGCCAAGAAAGAAATAGTATTAACTGAGTAAGCAGGAAATGCAAGCAATATACTTCCAAGAAATGTGAGAAGTTACAGAAACAGATGACTTCATGAACAGTCATCCAAAGTTCCTCTGTAACATTGGGTCATCCATCTTTGGCCTACAGGCCTAGCATATTGGATAAATTTGTTTGTGAAGCAGGATATTCTGAAGGGCTATCCTTCCTTATTTTGACAATGTTGGGCAGTCATTTTTTTTGTCCTGCTTGTCCAATTAGGACAGCATACTGTCAGCAGCCAAGTCAAGGGCACTTTCTTTACCTACTTTAGCCACAAAGAAAATAAACCCTCTGTGGAGTTTCTTTGATGCCTATCATCTTCTCTGAAGTAGATTGGTTATGCCAGGAACACATGTGTCTCATTGTCATAAAAAAGAGGCTATGCTGTTAAAACATCTTAAATGCCATATTCTGCAGATCTCTGAAGTGTTTGAAGATGACCTCTCTATCTAAAATATATCTTTGCTTGACCTTGAAAATATACCTAATATGACTACAAGTTCATTGCAATAGGTAATTAACTATTAACCGGCAGTTCCTTATTATCCTAAACAGTTGGTGGTAATAATTTTTGAGGACTAGAAATTTTCATTACATTGTTAAATGAGTTGTATACAAAACCTTGAACAAGAGTAGAAATGTTTGTACAGTATGTTCTAACAAAATAAATCTCAAATTTGTATTAATATACAAAATTTGTATATAATATACAAAAGTCCAATTCAATATAAAACTTTAAAAACTAGTAGTTGCTTTTAAAAGAGTAGATTCAATGATCTACCTTTTAATCTTATCATATCTATATCCTCCCTTTTTTCTTTTCAGAGTAGATTCAATAATCTACACTTTTATTCTATCATATCTATAACCTCCTTTTTTCTTTCCAAAACAAGAACCTTGAATCTAATTTTCTTTATTTAGCTTTTCTCCTGATCATTACCAATAACTTGTAACCAATCCCCTTAAACAATGACAAATATCCACAACCCAATGAAAGACCAAAAGTTGTCCACCTCATCTCTTGGGAATCTGGGTATCATGTTCTTAAATTTATTTCCTGCTATTTGAGGGCAACAGCATCTTTAGGGGATCTTGAAAAGAAAAATTTGGGTTAACTGTCAAGTCCTGGGAGAGGTAGTTGTTCCATTTGTTGTTCAGTCTCTGCATAATGAGAAAGTGCAGGGCTTGACTCAAATCCTGGCTAGCATAGTCTGTTAAACTGGATCACCTTAGCTAGTCACCTCAAAACTGATCTGAGCAGTTTGTAGTTCAAAGCTGGCCTTTAGGCAGTGTTTTTCAGCTTAGTGGTGTTATTATAGTTCTGAAGGAATTGTCATTGTCGGGCCACATCCTCCTTTTGGAGACTTCAAAGGTCACTGTTAGATGTGCCTATGGTTCACTGCAGAAAACTGATACTCAAGCCTGAAATCATATACAGGAAGATAGGTGAAACTTTTTCCTATAAGGAGTTAGTACTCTATATGACCATTAATAGCATGACAAAAATTTAATACATATATATGTACATATATATATATATATCAGTATTACAAAAGTTATACCTTAAGAAAAGCTGTTAAAGAGTTAATATCAATCAAAGGATTATGAGATTAGTGGCACTGAGGAAGTAAGATATAGAAAATGAAGTAACATCACAGCCACGTGACAATACGAAGATGAATACAAATGGGTTAATTTAAATGTAAGAGCTAGCTAATAGTAAGCCTGAGCCATTTGCCAAATATTTATAATTAATGTTATGCCTCAGAGAGGTTATTTGGCAACTAGTTGTGATAGAGAAATGTCCAGTTACAAGAATGAGTTCTGAATTCTGCTCTGGTTTCTTGTTATCTTTCTTTTCTTTTTTTCAACCTTAATAAACTCCGCTGCCTGAAAGTTCTGCATGAAAATTAGACTAAAATTGAGAAGCACCTGTACACCTTATGGATGGGCCACCTGCAGTGGCCAGCTTATCTCCCCATGCCTTCCCATCATACCCACTGTATGTATTCAACGTACTATCATAAGGTCATTTTGAGCAATTTTATTTTTAAAGGCATAGGAGAGCCACATGATGCAGTAATCTAGAATAAGTAGTGTTAGTGTTCAGGCATCTGTACCGGCCTGTTCTTGAGGTCCTGACAGGATAAGCCCTCAGCCCTAGTCACTAGGAACACCTGTGCACTGTTCAGTAAGTTCCCTTTTAAAAGGTGGGCCTTTCCCACCTCCTGTCTCTTCCTTTCTCTCTCTTTCTGCCTGTCTCTCTGTCTTTGTCTCTTCCCTTCTACTGCTCCTTTTCCCAAAGGCTGGTCTCCCCTCTCCCCTTCCCCCTTTCCCATTCACTTTGTCCCAATAAAAAACCTGTCCACCTGAGCTCTGTCGCATGGCGTCTTTCTCTCATGCGCTCCCCCCCCTTTTTTTTTAAATTACAAGTAGCCTTTGAGGTTTTATTTTTAGACCTGGAATGGTCAAATAGAAAATGTCTCAGACTGTTCTGCTTTTGAAATGGTACCATAAACTGGGTAGTTTACAAATGGAAGATTTATTTCTCATCATTTTCCTCGCATTATCAGGCTAAGACGTCTAAAATTAAGGCAACAGTCAATAGATTCTGTGTTGGGTGAGGCCTTCGTTTTCCGTTCCTAGACAGTGCCATTTCACAACATCCTTACATGGGGGAAAAAGTGAGCAGTTGTTCCCAGAAATCCTATTGGTGGTAGTCGGCCACTGTGTATTAAACAATTCCCCAGGATCTCAACTCCTTATTATCACCTGGAGGGTAAACACTTTGCCGAGGGTGACAGATATTTATATATCTAGACCCATAGGTATTCGGTATTTTTTTTTTATTAGGAATGGGTCCCATTCCTCTATTTGAATGCTCAGTAATCAGGGAGTGAAACTTTATGATAGGATTAGAAGGATTAAGAGGTGTGGTCTTGTTGGAGAAAGTGTGTCACTGGGGTTGGGCTTGGAGGTTTTCAAAAGCCCACAACTGGCCCTGTGTGACCCCCTCCCCAACACCCCGTGGGTAGTAAGAATGTAGCTCTATAGCTAAGGCAGGAGTGTGGGAAGACAGTAAATGTTCCTGAGACACTACGAGAAAAGCACATAGATGGAGAGAGACTGTACCGGAGAACTAGAGAGAATCTTCTCTGGAAACTAAAACTTAAACTTCCTTTAAGGTCTCCCAGGGGCTCCTTTGTCACCGAAATTGTTACCAGATCTCTTCCAGGACATTAACCCTCAGAAAGGCAACTCGTTGCCCGGCAACCTCCCTAACGCTTCCGCGGTCTCCCTATGATTGGCTATGAGCGGGCATCGCGCGTGACGTCACTGTGCAGCGCCGGAAGTGCCTGACCCTCGAAGTGGGATTCCTGGGCCAGGCTGCCGGCTGCGGAGCCGCTGGCTTTGGGGCGGAGACCGGGACTGAAGCCCCACCTGGGGCGGAGGGAGCGCGGGAGCGACGGGACAGGCGGTAGGCGCGGGCCACAGGGCGAGTTCTCGGCAGGGCGACCTTCCCAGGTTGGCGTCCCGTCCCGTTGCTAGGGCCGACAGAGGAGCTCTGGGAACTTGGCTTAGAATATTCTAGGCTTAGAGTATTCTAACTAGAGTCTATTTGCTCTGTCTCCTTAAAATTTTTTTTTTTTTTCCTGTAGCGGTGTCTACACACTTCCTCATTTTCCGCTTCAACAACACTCTAGAGCTAAATTAAGTGCTTGCAAGTGGGTGGCTGTTCGTGCAGACGGAAAGCAGCCTTTTCTTCGTGATGACGAAGGGAATGGGGTCGTCCGTTTGGAGTTTGAAGGACCTTTGCAGATGGAACGCAGCTTCTTTGGCAGAGGGCCTTTTGAACCTTTTTTTGGGAATTTTCTAATTTTCTAATTAGAGAGTAGAAGAAAGGTGGCGAGCGATTAGTGTAGTGGTCTTAAACTGGGGGAGATGGGTACTGAAATTTGGTATTTGTAAATCAAAGAATGTGTGGTTTCCTAGCATATACAGGTACTACCAGTCCCTTTTAGACAGCTAGCTGCCCAATGAAACCTAGGGGATTTGTATCGTGTTTGTTGTTTTTCCTTTTGGCATTGTGACATAATGTAAGCATTTCACAGTTAGTGCGTTTCTGTATTCTGATGTCCAATGTCCACTTAGAAGTCTAAGACAGAAACGCGGGGTGACTTGGAGAGTATTTGTACAAAGCGTTTTCACCTCTTCATGTCGTCCTGCCACTACCCCTTTACACTATTCGCCTAAAGGCATTTAAAGAAAAAGTAGTCTAAAGAGGAGGGCAGCATTTCCTTTCACAGACAGCGTGAGTGCTTGTCAGTGGTATTCTTCGAGGTGGATATTGTTTTTGTTTTTTTTTTAAAGGCATATTTACTTTGCCTTTTAAAATAAAGAGCAATACCTTTAGCAATTACAAATATTTATTTTTTAAATATATGTATTTTATGTACATGAGTTCTGTCATATACATCATTAACTCTTTTGTCATATACGTATACTTCTGCATGCCAGAGGAAGAGAACGAATTCCATTATAGGTGGTTGTTAGCCACTATGTGGTTGCTGAATTGAACACGGGGCCCCTGGAGGAGCAGCTTATGCTCTTAACCACTGAGCCACCTCTGCCTAGCCTTTTCATCCAGTAAGGCTTCCTCCAGCAGCTAATGGGAGCATATCCAGAGACCCACAACCAAACATTAGGGGCTGCCCTGGGAGCCCAACAAAGTGGGGGAAGGATTGTAGGAGCCAGAGAGACACAGGAGAACGTGGTCCCCAGAATCAGCTCAGCAGAGCTCATAAGGGCTCATAGAGACTGAAGCAGCAATCACATTAGGGTGTATGCATGTTTGCTGTTTAGCTTTAGGTTTTTGTGGGACTCCAAAAAGTGGGAGAGGTGGTGTCTCTGACTCTTTTGCCTGCTCTTGGGACCCTTTTCCTCCAACTGGGTTGCCTCATCCAGCCTTTATATGAGAGTTTGTTTCTAGTCTTATTGCATCATTATTTTATTTTGTTTTATTTTATTTTTATTTATTCTTTTGCCATGTTTGGTTGATATTCCTGGAAGGCCTGCTCTTCTCTGATGGGAAACAGAGGAGCAGTGGGTCTGGAGGAGAGTAGAGGTGGGGGGTGGTTTGGAACCAGGACTAGAGAGAGGAGACTATGGTTGGATGTATTATGAGAGAAGAAAGAATAAATAAAAACAAAATATCTTAAAAATAATTACTTTTGCCTGTATGTCATTATGTGCCTTTAAGCATTCCCAGCATTTCAGTCATGTAGGCAGGGAGATCTCTTAGTTCAAGGCCAACCTAGTCTACACAGCAAGTTCCAGGCCACCCAGAACTATTTAACAAGACCCCGTCTAAAAGTCAAATACACCAAAGTACTATTTTGTAAAGATCCTAGGGACTTGCAGACCCCGAGCCTAGTAGAATCTATGAACTGCAGGTTCAGTGAGAGCCTGCTTTACAAAATGGCGAAGAGCTATAGCAGAAGATACCCATGTCAACCTCTGTCCTCCATGACACACCTACTCTCACATATTAACTTGCATATGTAACACACGTGTGACACAAACTACACTGAATAGCTAAACACCTTGGAAGCTATATTTTATAGATTTTTGAAAGCTTTTCAAATGAAGGGATTTGTTGCCTTTTAAACTCATTTAAATTAGAAAGTAGGGCAGAGGAGATGACTCAGCTGGTAAAGAATCTGGTCACCAGGAATCCTCTGAGAACTTGAGAATTTCGGTGGTTGTGGTGTTCTGTCTGTCATCTCAGCACGTGTGGGACACAGACAGGGAATCTCTGGCACAGGCTCACTAGCCACACCAGCCCATAAGGGAACCTCTGGGCTCAGTGAAAGAAAGACTGCCTCAATATATAAGATGGAGCACTATTGAAAAAAGGTGTTAACCTTGGGCCTCCACACTCACATCTGTTTGTAACTGTTCATTTTGGCCTTGTGTGTATGGCAGATCAACAGATTCTGAAATTGTTTCATTTCATTGCAGGGGTGAAAGGGAAGCCATGCAGAAATCTGAGTACCCTGGGGGTGTGCAGTTGAGAAACAGAACAACAGGTATAGAGCTTTGCTTTTTCAAAGGGAGAGGCCGGGCTTGTTAATGATGAGACATTCTCTGTTCTGTGTGGATACCAGATAGTTTCTCTTGCGTATTTGTCTTTTGTACTGATCTAATTTTCCCCCCTAGGTAATTATGATCAAAGGACATCCTCAGGTGCACAAATAAAACACAGGACGACAGTTCAGCAGAGCAAATCCTCCTCATTAGCTAGTTCTCCTGAGGCTGCAAGAAGGGTTCATCCTCGGCCAAGCGACAAACTCAACCCTAAAACTATTAACCCGGTGAGTACAGATTCCTCAGGCAGTACGTTTTCACTAGGAATAGGCACTTATCTGATTATAGTTTAACCATTCAAGAAACAGGCCTTTGGCTGATTAGAGTTTCACTCTTCTGAATGCTTTCCTGGAGTTCCTTTCTGCTAGTTTTGAACTAGCTATGTTAATTTTGTTATGCTCCGAACTGTATGTCAGCTTTTTAACTTTCTGTCCTGCTTCCTAATGTCAGCGAACTAGCTTGCATTCGGTTGCTATGGGGTTGATTATTCTTGTGCTTCTGTATCCACCTAGAACTCTTAACTATTCCTTTATGCTCTACAGATTCGGTCCACCAGAGATCAGGATATAATCCTCTGTTTAACAGAGGCATACAATCAGTTTGGAGAAGTTACCCTGATTCTCTGATCTCTACATATCTATACTTGGCTGAATGGCATGCTGGACATACAGAGCTGGCTAAAAGTAAATGTGTCCTCTCTGTCCTTTGCACCACTGCTATAAAATCCAGGAGATGCATTCAGACATCTGTTTGTAGGACTTGTTCCTGATCTTTGACTCTACCAATCTTTTGTGGCATAAAGTGTAAAGCCAATTTGAAGAAGTTACATACAATCCCTGATCTGTACACATACGTGCATGGCTGGTAGACATGTGGAACATACAGTAATGGGTAGCCAATCCCTACTCCCTTTATCCTTAATTCCTGAATTCTTTGTTCAGCCCTCACCTTGAAGACTCAGACTGGCAGAGGAAGTGGAAAGATGTTTTGCTCTGTGTGTGGTTCCAGCCACCTGCAAAGCTTTGAGCCAAATTAGAGATTGACCAAAAAAAAAAAAAAACCCCAAAAAACTGCATCTTGGTTTTGTGTGTGGTCTTTTGTTTTTTCAAACATGTGGCTGAGCAGGGATGCGCACAAAATAACACACTGGGGGTTTAGAAGTCAGGTTTTATTTTATTTTATTTTTTTTGCCTCTGATCTCTACAGGATTAAAATTGAAGATATGAATAAATGGAGTTAGTGGTGATATTTCTATTTTTTAATTTCAGTTTGGTGAACAGTCACGAGCTCCCTCTGCATTTGCAGCTATCTACTCGAAAGGAGGTATTCCTTGCAGGTAAAATCAATATGAGGTATAGCTGACTTTGTGGTTCAAAATAATTGCTTGAGATCAATATATTATTTAGTTTAACTTTGTTGAAAATGTATTTACTAGTGAGATTTAAATCAAGGTGACATTACCTTGACTGTTGAATTGGTATCGATCCTTGGACATTGTTGATAAACCAAAAAAAATCCAACTCAACTCCAATATGTAATTACTAAGATCTGTAGTAGAACACCGAATATTTTCAGAAATTAAATTGACCTGAGTGTACACTTTTGGTACAACTAATTTAAACATTCATAGGCTTCTGCAAATTCTAAATCAATAGGCCCTACCTTGTTGGTAATGTAAACATTGATAGTGCAGTGGAATATTATTTCTTAGTAAGTATATATGACTACTTTTGCTTCTTTTTAGATAAATTCTTGATTCCCTTTTTCATAGAATGTTTTGTTTTATCCTGTTCTTCATGGTAGAATTTTTTTTATGTCATAGAAAATATAAGTACAACATAAATGTTTATGTTTGATTCTGGATTTTCAAAACTGCATTTTTTAAAAAATGGTATCTTTAAATTTGGAGTGAAAAATAAGCTGAAGAAGCCCCCCCCCCCCCCACTAAGAGAGGGTTTCTCTGTGTAACTGCCCTAGTTGTCTTGGAATTTGGAATTCACTCTGTAGACCAGGCTGGCCTTTAACTCAGAGCTTCACCTGCCTCTGCCTCCCAAGTGCTGAGATTAAAGATGTGTGCCACTACCACCTGGCTAAAGAAGCATTCTT